ACAATCAGCCATTTGTCAAACTGATCCAGGATTTGCTTTATTTAGTTGTTTTGTTTCCTTAAATCTCTGTCCAGTTGCAATATTAAACTATGGACTATGTTCTGTACACCTGACGTTATTTTTTAGAAGGATAAACCCCATGTAATTCAAAAGTAAACTCATCCAAATTTTCCTTTCTGGATACATCACAATTTATGACATCTTTCTTTGTCCAGGCTTTGTAGCTTTTTTGACCTTCAAATGAGCATCACACAAACTACCCAGACAAATTACGGAACGCACACAGCTGCTGCTTCAGAGCAATTACTTTTGCTTATAGCCTGCAAGAACCCCTTAAACGTTATGCAGATACAGAAGCAAACCTCCAGTGTACTGTTGGAGCCATGTTTCCAGCAATGGAAACTACTGTAAGAGAAAGGCAATTCCTTATGTTTGTTTGGCACAGTATTCTTGGCGCTTTAAAGGAGCAGTGTACAAACTCTCTGGTTTTAATCAGTTAACAGCACAGAAGTTGCACTCCACAATCAGTGTGAGTTATATCAATGTATTATTTACAATATATGTACCACTATGCTTTACAAAGAACCCCATATTTAGTTTTAAAGGCAGTTCAGTAGGGGCTTGCTCCTAAATCCTATAACATAATCCAGATTTCTGGACAAAATCAAACACTTGTCCAAGACAGCCAAAACTGCACAGAAGCAGCAAAAACCACAAACTAACCCAGAATGAAGGGCAGCCTACAGTCTTGGTGCCCACAAAGCAAGGGAGGAGATGTAGCTGCAGTCAGTTTGTTCCCTACTTTCCCCTTGCTTTAAGTATGATGTAATCTGTACCAGCCCTTTTCCTGGTACACTTTACTTCTCTGTCCACCCTCATTCAGCTGTGCTGACAGTGAACTGGCAGACAGAGCCACTGCTCCATGCAGTCCCACCCACACAGACAAAGTGTGGAACAAAGTGGCAGCAGCTCCCTCTCTCCATACAGCCTTTGGATCTGCAGCACAGGGAAATGGAAAGTAAGGAGACACTTTGATCTCTCAGTCTTCTGTGGAGGCCGAGGACAAAGTAAATGAGAGGAAAAACTCTTAAAAGATAATGGCTTCTTCAATCTCTTTGTCAAAGTGACTTCACTGAATGCTCCTTTTTATTAAGACTCTTTCAGCTCAGCTCTGTACTGTCAAGTTTTAATGCCCTTTCAAACTGAGTAATAATCCTTTCTGAAAACATGCACAATTTACTGTGCAAAATGCTATTTAGTGCAAGTCAAATGATTAGAATACGTCCCAAATTTTCAGTCCTGGTTGTGATCCTGAACAACAGTGGTGGAAAATATTTTGCTCAGAAGAGCTGTTTACCTCTGTCCCTTCTTAACAGCATTTCCCAAAACCGTAAATCATATTCTGCAGCTTTTTTAGTTGCTTCAGGAATACTCATTTGCTAAACCCTATTCTCTATGTTAAAGTGCTCATTTTGAAACTTCTCAACTGAAGAATATGAAAGAAGATAGGAGAAAAACTAAAATGTGCAATCGGAACAGTGTCAAAACAAAAGGCTGTGTTGACTCATCTCCATGACTGAAGCTAATTTATTTCATATAATCTCTCAAGTAATAGTTACGATCGAATGGTAAAAGCAGACACGCACTATGGGAACTATTACAATGTAATTACTTGAGGGGAAGCTATCGCTGAAACCTTGGGCTTACTAAAAAATCACTGAGGTACATTTCTCTTTCCTTAACAAGGAAGATGTCAGAATAGATAATTATAGAAATGCTGGACAAGAAATGCTAGAAAAGAAGTTTCTTTTTATAACGTTTCAACTTCTACCCAACTGCACAGTTCAGAAGACACTGAGTTTTGTTACTGTTTAACAAGTAACGCATGAGAAAAGCAGTCATTCACTGTAGTATTTCCTATTACAAACTACCTTCATACTCCTTACACCAGTTAAAGAAACACAAAACTCCATTTTGCTTCCCACAAAATATTCAGTATACAAACATATGCGCATACAAAGAAAGAAACAGTGAAGATTTAACCTGTGAATACTTCTATCTACGCCATATATGGACAACAAAAAAAAAGGAGGCCTCTAGCATTGAGAATTTACTTCCAGATCCATATTCGTAATTCATTAAGGTACATAAAAAGCCAGATCACTCTTACAGTATTACACTGTTCAACATCTTTTAAATATGGGGAGTTCCAGTTTGGTGAATGGAACAGCAACAGAAGACCAAAAAGAGAGTCCACGGAAGGATTTCCCCCTTGCATTTTTTTTTCCCATGCAACTGAGACATGCCCAAATACAAAACACTAAAATGCCATATTTTAAGCCAGAAGTGAAATCTGTAGTCAGAAGAAAAATTGGTGTCATGAGCTCACCATGCTGGCCAGCATAAACAAGGACAACTCACATTCGCCCTCACTTCATGACTGATGTAATGATTCTGGGCCACATTTCCTTGGCTTACAAAATTCACTGGTTCCCAGGAGGTGCTTGCTGGTGCTATCACAGCAAGATGTGTTCAGCTGATTTGTGAAGCTTCACAATATTTCCCAAGTTTCATAATAGACCTCTCCAAGAGATCTGAATATACAAGCATTTTGGCAACCTCTATCACCAACAGCCGAGAGCTGAATAAAAGATAAATATGTAAAAAAAAAAAACAAACCACCACAAAATACTACATGGGGATAGTAGGCAAATGGATCAAAGAAGTGGAACAGAAATTGTAATAAAGCTTAACATAAAGCTCAGTATACAATATAAATTTAAAAAAAAGGGGGTAGGCTAAAAAAAAAAATGACAATCATAAAAAAAGAATTGTAATGTTTTTCTGTGGTGTTACAATGTGATGTTGACAGTAAAATGTCATTAAGGCACAAAACAGAAATGGCCTAGTCCCAAGAGAAATATGTAAAAGAACAAGAAGATTTGTTATACATAGATTCACCAAGAAACATGGTCAAAAATACTCCCTGGTTCCACAGCTTAGAAATAGCAGTTTACCGTATCAGCATTACTGTCAAAATGGGAATATAATGTACAATAGCTACCCACAAATTGTGTACCTAAAGCACTAGAGCCAGTCAGTGTCATATGTAGATATGACACCAAATAGTATTCTGTATGCACTTCACCACTATCTTTATAATTACATTGTGATACAACAGTTTCTAACCAAAGAGGAAAGTAGAACACCCACGTCCCCCCATACTAATACAGAAAAAAAAAAAAGCTTTGTATCACATTTAAAAAGCATTGCAAATTTTTAGCAAGAATTTTTAACATATGTGTATTTGAACTAGCTTCCCTTACACAGGACAAAAACAAGCAAACAAACAAACAAAAAACAAAAAAAAAAAAAAACCCAATCCACATTGGAGATTTTGTGAAAGAAAAGGTAACTGCTATTCAAATTGCTGGTATAATACTTCTGCTCTGATAAGGACAATGCGCAGCCCTGAAGGTAAAATACCTAACTGCTAAATAGTTTTTCAGATCTATTAATTCATGGACTGAAGGTACAAGCAGTCCTGTTAACTCTGCATCACTATTCCCACTAGTCTTTCAGCCTCCATAGATTGCTTCTTTCTGGGACGTAAAATATTCAGAACACCATTGATCCACAGTTCTCTCACCTGTACAGACTCCATCTCTACATGAGATGAGAACAACAGCCCCAGTGCCAGAAGGAGCTTTACTGTACAAATTCTAGACTCAGGGCTGCCCATGTTCTCTGGAGTAGGTTCATCTCAGGACGATCAAGAGTTTGGCTCTTGGAAATGATAGCATAAAATGCATGAAACACCTCATGCCTTCAAGTATCACATGATGTGATGCTTTCAACACAAATGTTCTATGCATACAGTATGCTTAGGACATGGCTACTTAAAAGAGCAGTCCAAGCTTAGATAGAATGCTTTCTGAGGTATCCCTTTTGCACAAAAAATTAGGATTAGGAGGGAGGGAAAAAAAGTTTGTGGGTTTTCTTTTTAGGTGTATTAATTCTTCTCTGGGTCCCATCATTTGAAGGTAAATTTAACATTTTCTTCCATTCACGCATGCAGTGTAGCCCTTATCTCCACAACCCCAGAGGCAAAGGGTAAAAAAAGGCACAAACAGTTGAAAAGCTTTAAGTTGCATGGGAGCTATGGCTTGTAAACATCATACGAAAAGCTTCTCAAGCTCATCCTAATGTACAAGTAGGCAGAACAACATTTCACAATCGATGCATTTCAGAAGATCCAAGTGACCAAAGCTTTGGTCAAAGCAATTATTCTTATTGACCTAAGTCAAGTTTATGTCCCTCTGGCTGTTAGTTTGAATCTTCTGTAGTAACCCACGCTTTGCCGACTCAATCACTCCTAGCTAACACTTAGCAACTTACAGTGCAAGCCCAGGGTAAGAAGTGGAAATGTGTGCATATGTGTGCATACACGGACCAGAAGCCAAATTCATTCTACTCTTTACAAAGTCATTAGCATTAAAATTAGAGGATATTTTGCTTCTTTGTTCTACTAGAAACCACTGAGAGAAAAAATCATGGCTGCAACTCCCCCATTTCATTAGCAATGTACTATTTGAATGCAGTCTGTTTGCATGTATTGCTGGCATCTGAATTTGAAACCCGCATTTTAATGTCGGCTACCTTGAAAAAAAGGTTGCATTGATACGCAGAGGACCTGTCCTAAAAATTCACAGCAGTAATTTGAGAATTGATGTAATTAAACAAAACAAAACAAAACAAAACTCTTGAATAACCATGACTATCTTAAAGACTCTAATTTCAAATAAATAAAAGAAACAAAAAACAGAATATTGGGGGTTTTATTTCCATGTATTTTTCATTTTCCTAAGTATATACATCAAGTCTTAATGTTATTTCTTAAATTAGGCAAGCAACACTATCTTCTCACCCCAAAGCAACAAGTTACTGGACAAGTAAGAACAAAAAAGTCCACTGTAAAAGAATTACTGTAGTTTTAACTGTCACAATTGAAAATCTAAAGACAATTCATCTCTTACCTCAATGGTGGGTGGATCCTTTCTTTTTTTTCTTATCCAAGCTGCAAAAGAAATAAAAATCAATTGGATATTTCAAAGATAACAGGCAGTATTACAACTCAAAATGATATTGACTTCGTAATAGAAAGCAAACATTTATATAAAAATTTGCCACAGCACAGCAAGCCAAAACAACATTTCCCAAAGTATCAAGCCCCAATATGCTATGTCCCATGTCAATACTCTCAGCTATCATAGAAGAAAAAAAACATCTTCCTGTTATGAGAGCTTGAGCACAGCTTACACACTACCCAGAATGGCAGAACAGGGCTTTAGACCCAGCCTTCTGTTGAGCTCGCTACACAGAAAAGCAGAGTTTCACCCTGAGAAAACATGAAAGTATGAAAAGCTTTAGACTACTCTGGAGAAAAACAACCCCTGTATATGCCTCAGGTTCTGTTAAAGCTTGAAAAGCTCTCATAGACATTAGCGTTGACTGAGTTCTTTCATGGGATGCAAAATATAGCCATAAATCTGCACAAGCTCTATCTGCCTAGTCTCAGATAGGTTGCAAGGCTTTACCTGTTGCACCAAAGGGAAGGTACAAAATAACAGAGGAAAGAACGGATGCTCCCTCCATCTCAGCAAACTCATGGAAAGGACAGCAGTAGAATTAGAGCAGTGGCAGTGTTGGTTGTCCTGTGATTTTGGTTTCCCATTATGAACTATAATCAACAGCTGTATGTCTGCTCCTACCATGAACTGCCTGTCAGTGCAGAGCTGACTGGAAGCAACAATCCAAGGGGATTTCATTGCAGACAGAAAAGTGGTACCATGTCCAATCTTGCTTCATTCAGCCAATGAATTATGACAGAGAGCTCCAACTCTGTTACAGAAATTGTTAGATGAACAAATTCCCTAACTGTGAACAAGTCAACATGCATCTCTCTTCAAAAGTACCACTACCGAGTGCAACATTTTCTCAAAACTGTTGAATTCACAGAACTTCTAGGTGCCAGTTAGCATATTTTGTAGACATTTTATAGACATTTTGATTTTTTTCCCCATTTCTACTTTTTAGATGAATTTGTAGAAGCATGCAAATAGCAGCGAGCAGATGGACAAACATTAAGAAAGCAGATAAAAGGCATAATGTTCTTCTGTATTTTTGGATAAAAGTTTATCATGCTTGAAAATTAGAACAAAAATGCCATTTTCACTATCACACATTATCACTCACACACTGTATTCCTGCTCATTTCTTTCAGAAATGCTACTAAAATGGATTATTTCAAATTTTAATCTTCCAGTTCCACTGGATTTTGAGGGGAACTGCAAATCAATCAAGCAGCAAGCTCAAAGAGCTAACAGCTGCATGGAGCCACAATTTCACCTTACTACTGAAAATGCAATCACTCATACAATGAACTAGCACTACTCTGCTTCAGCAACATGACGAAGTTGATTTTAGGAGGAATAGCTTAAAATTAATGTAAGAATGGAATTAAAGCAGGAAAAATGTCATTACACAGCTTAGAAACAAATCGCCATGGCAAAGCCAATAGCTATAATTCAAGGTTAATGATAAAATAATCTTCAATTACATGAAATTGTTTGTTTCTTGTCCATCAGATGACAATTTCTGAAACATATTTTCTTAAAATTATCATGCATATATACTTACGAATATCAATACCTGTCAACTCAGTAGTCTTTTAGTCCTAACAAAGTTAAGACCTATATACGCAACTGGGGGGAAGTGTCTGAGTACTGAAAGCAACACCAAACCTTCTGCAAAAGCTTTATGTTACTAGAAAGCAAAACCAGCCCATTACAATAATTTAGTTACAACAAGATGACTTTCTCTTTAATTCTGTAGAATAAGAAAACATTCTGCATGTATTTGTAGCACTTACAAGCACTTTAACTTTATGAGAATTTCCAAATACCAAATCTGACAAGACACGCACCTAAGCTGGTATGCTGACAGCAACAAGATTATTAGAGAAAATCATAGCACAAAAGTCTTTCCTCCTGAAAAAAATATCATCACTGTTCATATTTATCAACAGTTCTAATCACATGCAGAAAAGCTAGAAAGTGCTAGAAATATCAAGTACCAAGAAGTATGTTTAAAAGATGCAGTTGGGAAAAATGGAAAAGAAGTAGCTTAAAATGCTTGGTGAAAACTGAAGTGTGAGGATTATTTTCCATGAAGTATCATCTTCTTTCCTTTCTGTGCCTCATTTATTTGTCACATGGACATAATTTGTTACAATCCCCCTGGTCTCAATTTCACTGCTCTCAGCACCTAAAAATGACTTCATTTTGTTGAAATTGCCAGTATTTTCTTAAAACGCAAACATTTTCACAGCTGCATCCTAATTTCAACTGGTTACAACTTAGTAATTCTTAAAAATGACCTTAAAATTTGAAATTCTACACAAAATGAGCTGCAGCTACAAACTATTGTTGAAACACAGTCATTACAATAGATTTTTTTTTCACTGACAGATAGGACTCATCGTTATTTCGGTAATGATTTTCAGATGAACGGAATACTTCTGTTAAAAGATTTTATCATTTGATCATCTGCCTGAGTACAAGAAGCACAGTGAAGGGTAGTACACTGTGTACAAGTTATGTCAACAGAACCCAAGAATTGAGGAGCATTATGCAACTTGTTTTCATTCACAGAATCACAGAATGGCCAGGGTTGGAAGGGACCTCAAGGATCACGAATCTCCAACCTCCTCCCTCATGCAGGGCCACCAACGTCCCCATTCAATACTAGACCAGGCTGCCCAGGGCCCCATTCAATCTGGCCTTGAACACCTCCAGGGACGGGGCATCCACAACCTCTCTGGGCAGCCTGTTCCAGCACTCTCTCTGTAAAGAACTTTCCCCTGACATCCAACCTACATCTTCCCTCCCTCACCTTAAAACCATTTCCCCTTGTCCTGCAGTTATCAACCCTTTCGAAGAGTTGATTTCCCTCCTGCAACTTGTAGGCTCCCTCAGCCTGTCTGTGCAGGGGAGGTGCTCCAGTCCTATCTTTGTGGCTCTCCTCTTGACCCTCTCCAACAGCTCCCTGTCTTTTTTGTACTGGGGGCTCCAGACCTGGACGCAGTATTCCAGATGGGGCCTCACAAGAGCAGAGTAAAGGGGGACAATCACCTCCCTGTCCCTGCTGGCCACCCCTCTTCTGATGGAGCATGGGATACCACTTTCTGAGCTGAATTAATGAATTATTAATATATCACAGTTAATACAAACACTCAAAAACAATCAAACTATCTTCAGTTTATTTCTCATACCATTACCCAAATATACTATTATCAAAAATGTATCCATTTAAATTCACAAATAACAAATAACACACACACAGTCATCGTGCTCTTCCACAATATACAGTTATCATCTCTTCCACAATGTTCTTGTGAAGAAATTGGCTGCCCATGGTTTGGATGGGCATACGCTCTGCTGGGTGAAACACTGGCTGAATGGCCGGGCCCAAAGAGTTGTGGTCAATGGGGTTAAATCCAGTTGGTGGCCAATCACGAGTACTGTGACCACTTCTATTTACCATCCTTATTAATGATCTTGATGAGGGGATTGAGAGCACCCTCAGTAAGTTTGAAGACAACACCAAGTTGAGAGGGAGTGTTGATCTGCCTGAGGGGAGAAGGGCACTATAGAGGGAGCTGGGTAGACTGTATTGATGGGCCAATGTAAACTGTTCGAGTTTCCATAGGGGCAAGTGTCAAGTCCTGCATTTTGGTCAAAACAACCCCAGGCAACCCTACAGGCCTGGGAAGGAGTAGCTGGAAAGCTACCTGACAGAAAGAGACCTTGGTGTATTGATGGACAGTTGGCTGAGTATGAGCCAATGGCATCGTGGCTTCTATCAAGAATGGTGAGATGAGCAGGACTAGGGAAGTGATCCTGCCCCTGTACTCGGCACTGGTGAGGCCCCACCTCAAGTACTGTGTTCAGTTTTGGGCACCTCAGTACAGAAAGGACATTGAGGTGCTGGAGCAGGTCCAGAGAAGAGCAACAAGGCTTAGAAGAGCTTGGAGAATATGTCCTACGAGGAGAGATTGAAGGAACTGGGACTTTTTAGTTTGGGGAAGAGGAGGATGAGAGGAGACCTTATTGCTCTCTTCCAGTATCTGAAAGGTGCTTACAGCAAGAGCTCCACTGGTGACAGGACAAGGGAAATGGCCTCAAGTTGCACCAGGGTAAGTTTATGCCGGATATCAGGAAAAACTTCTCTACAATAAGGGTGGTTAAGCACTGCAATAGGCTCCCCAGGGAGATGGTTGAGTCACTAACCCTGGACGTGTTCAAAAACCATTTGGATGTGGTGCCCAGGGACACGATTTAGTGGATGGTTGTTAGTTAGGGTAGTATGGTTTGGTTGTGGTCGGACTTGATGATCTTGAAGGTCTTTTTCAACCTGAGCAATTCTATCGTTCTTTGATTCTATTTTTTTTTCCATCTATAAAAAGCATTTGAATACATGCTATACCAGGGCTATCACTTTCCTTCTTTTAATAAGTGTCAGAATTATAAATTTTGTTTGTTTAAGTGTAAATAAAACTTGCTGACACAGCTAACGAAAACCATTTTCCAACTTACTACAGGTAATTTCACTTTACCATTCACATTACCATTCACTGTATCTCTAATGAACTGCATTAGAAAATCATTATTTAATGAAAAATTTATTCATTGCTGCATAACTGAGAAGTATAACAAAAATGTACTAGAATCTCTTCATAGTCATAAGATGAATTTAGCTTTAATGTACAATATCTCCTCTGAAAAAATCCATTCCAGAAACATTTTACACAAAGCACAGACTAAGATACAAGATTAAAAGCACAGAAGTTTTCATCTGAATTCAGTGCATTCTGCTACATTTTACTTCAGTTTCAAATAGTTTCGTCAATATTTCAAAAGCAACACATTTTTCTAATTCTATTTTTTTTAGATTGTTCATCTGACCACTCTTCAGGGGGAAGAATAGGAAGAATCTAATATACTTAATCTTCAATAGTTTTCAGGTGGAAATATTTTGAGCACCCTATCTCTGATTTCCAAGCAGGCAGGTGTTATGCAGTATTTGACCACACGTACACTCCTAAAAAAAGGCCAGTGACAGTTGCAGCTAGAAAAGACTTCCACATGAACACTCATCTTATACATTAACAAAACAAAGTGCTCTCACACCCTGTCAGCCAAAATGCTTCAAAATGGCAAAAGCAGCAAAGTTTACATATACATACTGACCACAAGTAAAGCATGCTTGTCTGCCTCCAAAGCTTTAGGAAAATGAATTGATTGCCTCCATTTCCAATTAATTATGGTAGTGCTCTTAATTTACCTGGATGGCACTTCCTGTTTTCTGTATGCACTGTAATGTCACCTTTGTCTAAAAGGAATTTTGCAATATAACTGGACGTTTTCTACCTTAAGAACCTTGCACTCTTTTATTAGCACTCATTTGCAATCTCATTAGTATGCATGAGATTTTCATTGAACTTTAAGACTCCTACTGGCACATAAGGCACTATAATGAATGCAAAAGTGAGTATGCAAATTAAGACTACCATTAATCACTGAATGTTACCAGGAAAAAAATGCAAGACAGGGAGTAGATGAGCTTTATTGCAGCATGAAGCATGCAATCTCAGGAATCACTGTAGGCATGTAAAATTGCTGATCTCCTCTTGGGAGCACTAGTGACATGTCCTGAGGAAGTAAATTACATATTCTACAGTAGGTCAACATTCAGAATTAACATTACAGAAAGGTTATCTGTTGGCTGCATCCATATTGCCCAGGGAAAAGAAAAGCATACTTCCTTGCCTCGTACTAAAATATAAGAGGCTTAATCTAAGCAAAAATATGTAATCTTCAAATTGTGTGCATGGGTTACAATCATTAGAACAGCTTAGGTTGGAAGGGACTTTAACAATTATCCAGTTCCACATACTCCCTGCCATGGGCAGGGCTGCACCCCACCAGCTCAGGCTGCCCAGTGCCCCATCAAACCTGACCTTGAATGCTTCCAGGAATGGGGCATCCACAGTTTCTATGCGGCACCTTCCAAGTAAAAAAATTCTAACATCTAACCTAAATTTTCCCTCTTTTAGTTTAAAGCCATTCCCTCTTCTCCTATCTCTACAAGACTGTGTATAAAGTTAGTCCACCCCTCCTGCTGGAAAGCTTCCTTCAAGTATTGGAAGGCTGCACTGAGGTCCCCTCTGGAGCCTTCTCTTCTCCAAGCTGAGCAAGCCCAGCTCCCTCAGTCCTTCCTTGTAAGAGAGGTGCTCCAGCACTCTGATCACCTTTGCAGCCCTTCTCTGGATCACTCTAACAACTCCATGTCTTTCCCGTGCTGGGAGCCTCAGGCTTGGATGCCATAATGCAGATGGGACCTCAAGAGGGCAGAGCAGAGGGGGACAATCCCCTCCCTCACCGGCCACCTCTCTTTCAATGCGTCCCAGAATGCAGTTGGCCTTCTGGGCTGCAGGCACACAAAGATGGCTCATGCACAGCTTTTCATTCACTAGGATTCTCAAGACCTTCTCTGCAGGATTACTTTCTAAATTCAAAACCACGGTATAAAAAGTGTACAGTCAGTTAATGCTAAAGAGAACACAAGGAATTACAATTCCATTTTTACAATATGGAGTATGTTTCAGTTCAACAAAAGCCTTAATAGACATTCAAGCCCTCTGAAGTATCCATGGGTCTGATTAACTTCAGAACTTAAATCTGGCACAGCACTTTAAAACAATTATCTTTAAGAGGAAAACTCAGTGTAAACCTTTCAGCCATATACTCAGTAAACTTCCAGGACTATCATTCAAACATCCTCTCCCAAGTCTGAGAAACAGCTAGCACAGACTGAGCCTACTATGTGGATGTTTGGCACATTTATTTGCCTTATAGCTTCCTACTCAGTCTCACCCTATTTAATATTTATAACTTGATTAACACAATTCCCAAGTTCCCTTAGTTTACTAGCTGTACAGGCAGTATGCCTTAGAAATACAACAAGATTTATCCCAGTCCCCCTTCAAATTTCATTCAGTCTCTCATACTCCCTAAGCAACCCATGACTGATTCCACGCAAGTTTTTGGCCCTTAAATATTTCCAGGGACAGTACTATTGTTCATAAAGGTTACAAGACTTTCCTAGCTGTACAGTGTGATATAAGAAAATTGAGAGAAGTGCCAGGATGAGTGGCTTTACATGACATGGTCACTATGGATTAGATACTAGTGAAAAAGCTGTGCCTGGCAGAACCAAGCACAAGTGAAAGCAGCTCTGTAGAAAAAAAGAAGAGGAAACAAGGCAGCACAGATTTTAGCACAATTCTTCAAGTGGAAAGACTGAGAAGGCTTGGAAAGAGAATGCTAGTGCTGAAAGTGCGGGTAAAACTGAAGCAGAGACAATGTAAATGTCAGACCACTTGCATGCTATTTGGAGAGAAGGTTCCTGGAGATCTAAGAATGTGCCTGGCAGAGAAGATTTAGAAAACAAAAGCTACCCCCCCCAAAAGATCAAAGAATAAAGAAAGAAAAATAGTAAGAAATATTATACAGCCTTCTAATCTTATACAAATCTTTTAGTGTTGAGAGGAAACAGCAAGTGCTTCAGAGATCCTCCTGCAAAGCCTCAGAACATTTGCTGGAACAATCACAGTACACAACAGCATGAGCTATCAAGTGAACACCCACAGGAAAAATGCACTGGAAATTTTTCAAAAGTCTGGATAGAAGACTGAAAGTTAAGCACAGACCTTTAGAGCCTGGGAAGCATCTGATTTCCCCTTTCCTCATAAAGAAGAAAAGTAAAAGGATAGAGATAAATAGCCTTCTGCAAAGTGCGTCTAAAATCCCTGTGTTAAACCATACCCACTCAGCTGACTGGCTTCTATAGAATCACTTGCACTCTCCAGTCTTTTCATAGAATCACAGAACAGTTTGAAGGGACCTCAAGGACAACCAAGCTCCAACCCCGCTGCCACATGCAGGGCCACCAACCTCCACATCTAATACTAGACCAGGCTGCCCAGGGCATTCTTTCCCATTTCTTACTCAGATTTCACAGGAGGCAGGAAAGAAGTAGAGAGAATTCCACATCAATAATTTACATCCCAAAATGTAGCAAATACACCATAATTTCCTGAATAGCCTCTTCAAATACACAATTACTATTAGTTTTGGCTACTAAAAGCTATTTTAAAAACTATATATATTGTTTAAATTGACACTGAACAAAAACTAAAAAATTGGTTAGCCTTTTTTTGGTGGAATTCCTATGCTTCAAGGTTCTTTGCTTATACAGAGTTCATAAATCATACTTAAAGCCACTCCAGGCTAAATCTCCTACAACCTCAAGGAACAACATGCAATCCCATTCTCCTTTCTCTCTTCCAAAGGCTGCTTAGTTAATCTTAAAAAATTCCTCTAGCTTCCCTGAATTTATCTGAAACTTTGGGACATAGAAAGAAAATTTTCTTATAACTGATGAGGAAAAAAAAACCAAAACAACATTAATTGCTTTATGGGCTCTCCAACTCCCTACAAGACTATGCAAGGAAAAGTACTGGAAGCCAGATATGGCGATTAAAACAATGATTTTTAAAAAGCCCCATCACTGTGCCACCAATAATTGAGCTGACCTACAAACTGACACTGCAGTAAAGGCATAATTAGCAACTTAGTTTGGTTATTCTATCAGATCCCCCCCAGGCACAAACATTTTCACATCTAATAGGAGAAAGTCATAATCAGGCAGATTTTATTTACATTTTTATTACGTACTCATTTCCTAAACATTACTTATTTGTAAAGGAGTCACTTTAAAAATTCATATCAAATCAGTTATAAAAAAGTAACCCAAAATGAAAAACAAGAGGCAGCCTATTCACACAGCAAGACATTCCATTAAAAAAATGAATCTAAATTCAATGACAAAGTTATCTTGAAATAAAACCAAAATATTCAAGATTTACCTTCCCATTCTGTTGGAAAGTCACCCATCTCGTACTGATATGCTTGCCGATTTACTGCTTCTACAAACCTTCTTTCAGGTTTAATTTGCCCTACAGCAAAAAAGAGAAAAAGAAAAAAGAAACAGTTATATACAAATGCATATATATATACACACACACACACACATACAATATTTAAAATACTAATTATAGTATTGTTTTGAAAGACCTCTTTATCACACAAATGTAGTAATGTCTGGAAGATAAAAAAGGAAGGATTTAAATAGTGAGAAAATGATTATCACCAAGATATCTATTTGAGATGCTATCTATTTCAGTAACTTCATCATAAATTTATATGTTTTGTTGCCCACATGGATTATTAATGGCCCAAACTGTCTACCTCATTGTACCTCCAAGACTAACACTCCTTTTGAAAACACTTCACTGAGGACCCATAAATCAAACCTGCATTTCCCTTCATTCCCTTTGCTGGCAAGGGTCTGGAAACTTGAAAATGCTATAGAGGCAAAAAAATCAGCACAGACTTCACTGGTGAGCTCATTGGTGGCAATGGCTCTGGGCACATGAGCCTTTCCACATGCTTAACAGCTAACTATTTACTGCATTAAAAAATGAAAAACATAAAGATCACTCTGATAGGAAATATTCAATACATCAAAAGAGGAGCCATTGTGGAGAAGCTGCATCTACAACCCACTCAGATTCTGCAACAGTCAGAAACGAAAAACTGAGGCTTGACTGGTGATACAGAACACAGCAGATGCATTGTCTGAGGAATACATAGTGTTTATTTAAGCTTTTAAAAATATATTTAAAATATTTTAATCACTGCAGTCTTCACTTTTTGAAATCCCAAAATCTTTTAAATCTAGTAGATAATACAAAATATGTAAAATTTCTCCATTCTTCACAGAGAAAAGACTTAATTCCCCAGCCTCTTTCTGCCAGGCCCATGTGACTGTTATGATTTGACATCCTGCAGAAATACTGAATTAAATATCCACTTAAAATATTTTTTTCATACTGAAAGACAGTCGTTGCAATTTACTCATCTCTGCATACTAGTGCTCACTGTTAAGTACTTAGCTCAGCAAAACAGTAAGAACTTCCACAGATATTGCTGATCCTGTATGAGTCTAGGAATTAACACTCTTCTTCATTACTGTAAAGTCACCACTTTATTCTGCAAACACAGCACCACTTAAACAACTGTCCAGTATTTGAGTTCCACACAGAGATAAAAGAACACAGTGATTAAACACCAGCAAACGTAAAGGAGTTTGTTTTTCCACTCCTAACACAAACTGTGATTGATGCTGGCAGTGAGAATTCATTGCACTGTAACTTGCAGCCAGATTGAATAGGATCATTCAAGGTTTCAGAATACTTGCAGTATATGACAGAACAATCAAAGAAAAGATTATCAAGGCAGTTTCAATGCATTTGTAGGTGTTGGTGCCGTATCTTGGGATTGTCCTCTAGATGTTAATCCCAGTCCCACAAGATGACTTGTATTTATCTATTCTGTAACTTTATTATTATTTTTAATACTAAGGACAATGTGGTTATTGGTCACAGCCAACACGTTCATGAAGGCCAGGTCCTGTTAAACTAACTTAATTTCCTTTTACAACAAGGTCATCCATCTAGTTGACCAAGGGACACCAACTGATGCTATTTTCTTGGATTTCAGTACAGCTTTTGTCCTTCTGGACAAAATGTCCAGCATACAGCTAGACAGAAACATAATGTAATGGTTATATGAGGGTGGCAGTAAGTCACTAGCAGGGTTTCCCAGAGCTCCATTTTAGGGTCAGCCCTCTTTAATGCTTATGTATACCACTTGGACGTAGGACTAGAATGTGTTTTGAGCAAGTTTGCTGACTACGAAATTAGGAGGAGCTGCTGACTCCATCAAGGGTGGAGAGGTTTTGTAGAGAGATCTAGACAAATGAAAGATCTGAACAATCATCAGCTGCATGAAGTTTAACAAGAGAAAATACTGGATTAGGGGCAACCCTAACTATACATATAGCCTGGGGGATGAGACACTGGAGAGCATCTTCAATAAAAGAGATTTGGGGGTCTTGGTTAAGAGCAAGCTGAACATCAATTAACAGTGTGCCCAGATCACCAGGAAGGCCAGCAGTTCAGGTTGTGCTTCCAGGAAGAGTTTCCTAACCAGATGGTGAAACGGCACTAGAACAGGCTCTACAGGGCAGTGCTCACAGCACCGAAATATTAGTGCTCAGGAAGCATTTGCATGATGCTCACAGATACATGGTCTGATTTTTTTAGTAGTAGTGTAGAGTCAGAAGATTAGTCCAGCCTTATGGGTTCCTTCTTACTCAGGACATTCTATGATTCTAATATGTGATCACACATATTATATCAATTCCTAGGTCAGAGAAAAGGTTGAAACCATATTGCTTCTTATCTTTGATGTTTATTCTATTGAAGCAAAAACAAACAAATAAAAACAAACAAACAAAAAACAACCACCCACAAAATATCCAAAAGATGGAAAAAACCCACAAAAACACCACACTATTATCAAAGAAAGGCAGCTGTTGAGCAGTAAGAAAGAAACAATCTCTGCCTCTGCTAAACAGAGTATTTTGTCAGAGCATTTAGGGCTGAATGGATTGTAAACCAAATGAGGATACTTGTTCTGAGACATGACAAATTTCTTTCAAGCAGCTAGATTAAAACCACTCCTAAATAAAATGTGAGATAAGCAAAACAGAGTTCTCTGGATCCAGATGTTCTACAGCATCTTCTTTAGAGTCAAAAAGGTGAAGAAATACAAAACAAAACAAAAAGTAATAAAGAAAACACCACCCGAAATCACAGCCCTAGCCCAAGTTGGAAACTAAGCCCAAATTGCATGTTTCCACTGCATTGTAACATCACATTTCAAGTCTGCAGGGGCTTTCTGCTTGAGTAAGTCTGCAACATCTAAACAGAATGTATCACTCAACAGGCACACTTTGAGTAAGAGCCCAGAGCAGCACAGAAACCATCAATAGGTATGGTAAACTCAGCAGAAAGAGAACTAGAAGGTGTAATTTGAAGCGTGAATAACCATACTTAACATTCGGTGTAACTACTTTACATTAATGTCCTGAAAGCTGAAGAATCAGCAAAGGAGCAATTCTGATGCTGATGATTCTTCATTCTTAAATAAATGGTCAAGATCTGTAGATAGCAAAATATCTGCTCTAACAGAAGTGTCCGGACATTAAAATTTGTCTAGAAATGTCTCATCATTTTATTCACCTGACTGTCGAACAGCTTATGGTGAAAGAGAAGACTCACAGTTCCTATGCATGCTTGCAGTCTCCAAAGAGCTTGACAAACAGTAAATGTTGCTGCAACTGCAGAGAAAGTACTTGGGACTTCAGACTGAAAATTCTCTAGGAAAGAAACCTGCTTTGATGCTCATTTCAGACTTCACGCAAGCACATGCAGGCCATCCTCTGCTTTTTGGTCATTGCAAGACATTCAAACTGGTCGAATGGGTACCAGAATGATGCTCTTCTCTCTAACATTAAATAGTTCACTTTAATAAAATCACAATGCTGCAAACAATTATGAGCTTCTGTGTAGCCAACTTGTGCTCACTTACTTTTATGTCAAAGATGTGAATGACAGCATCCTGTGCTGTAATTCCTGGAAAGAAAATCTAATAGTCCAAAAAGGATGTACTTGTAGCTCTACTAGAGCTAACAGCCCATGGATTTTACATGTATTTATGCAAACTTTATGTTTTGAAAGCTTGCTGTACTCTCCAGACAGTGTCAGTTTAAAAATGCTTTTTATTGCAGTCTGACTGAGAAACAAACTCTCTCAGTGGTCGCTGAGATTTAAAAAGCTCTGCCAAATGCTCTGGTGCCTAGTCCCCAGCAAGATGTATCAAACATGGTCCCTATTTTTAGCTCATCGAAAAGCCTTGCAAATTGTACCTCATGAAAGCAACACAAAGCCCCAGACAGATAATACACCTTTACAAAGAACCTCTGTTTTGTAAATTAATCTACAATACACTTACTGGAAACATGCAATATCACAATTCTTTTTCCAACAAAGGTGCAAATAAAGCCAGTTTAAGCATCATTTCTGGAATAGCTGGTGGATGTCTTGTGCTCTGGCATGTAGAAGCTTATTCCCAACTGTTCTTTCAGTTTGTTTTGGTCTATCAGATTCAAGAAATTGTTTTCTACCAATTACTGCCAAAATGTGAAAAAAATCCAGGAACAAAGTACCAAGTATTTTCTGTAATTGCATGAAAACCTATTTAAAACAGGGATTTAGCATGTATAAAAGGGAATTTAGCAAGTAGATATGAAATGGTACAATCACTTGTATTTCATAAATAAAAACAATGCATGAAGATAAACAAAACGGCCGTCATGCAGGGAATAGAAATGGGCAAGTGACAGCAAGGGTATGAATTGTAAATGAAATGAAAAGAAAGTTACAGCTGTGGAGAACACCAATTAAACAATACAACCCCACAAAGCAGTGTTACATTCTTGTTTGAATGATTAATTACGTTTCAATTATACATCATTCACAAACTCTCATTTGCCGTTTCTTTTTTTCTTTTACAGTATAAATCAAATTACTACAGCCAGCTGCACTAAAGGAGCTAATGCTATTATTTTTTTTTAAATAAATTTTAATAAATTTTACAAAAGGATTTCAGGTTTGAGATTGGCCAAGAACATTTAGTCATATACAAGGACTGAATAGAATTACGGCTAATACTGTGCACTGTACTTTGAAGATCAGAGAATACCAGTATGCTATCTTGTTTGCTTTTCTCTGCAGAGCATAGAGAAGTAAAAATAAGAGCACAACTTCTGAAGTAAAGGGCAAGAATTATGTGTTATTCATTCTGTCATGAAAGTTGTGAAATTAAACTTCACAGCTGTGCTTGCACTATTTGGTACAGCCTGAGACAGAACATTTGAGAGCAAAAGAAAGGCATCACTAAAGTCCAATGTCCAGAGACAGGAAAACAAAACAAAGATGCAGATACATCAACATCCCACAAAAAATAAACTCCCACTATGGTTCAGTTG